TGTCGCGGTATAATTCACCGCTGACGTCAGGCTGATCTCGCTGCCCAGCTGGGTGGGTGGGTGGATTTTGAGAATCTCCAACCGTGAGAATGGATAGTTTCAATAAGGTTTTGGTCGAAGTAGGTATAGGGAGAGTTAGAGTTGTTTGTAATACACTCTCATCTCTCCCCTGTGAAAAACTCTGTTTGGGATTATGGGTTTATACCTACTCCGCTCAAAACTCTATCATGGACTTATATCCTAAGTCGTGCCTTTGTTAAGATTGGTAATCCATTCTCTGAGTTTCCTAACTCTAAAGGTAAGGTTAGTTTTATTTATTAACTTTATTTGTTAATAAATAGACTGAGCCAGGAACATGTTCATGTTTCCGTGGCTTGTCTTTGATCTTCAACCTTGGCCTATCATTATGGCTGAGGTCAAAGCTTGTTCGGGGGAGCCCGGGCGCGGGGATCGGCCTTGTTTGCGTCGCAGTATAATTCACCGCTGACGTCAGGCTGATCTCGCTTAGCCACCGCGCCGATCCTTTTGGGGGTTTCTTCTACACCCCATTTAGGTGAGGCTCGTGAGAGTCTCAACTCGTTGAGCAACCCCCAAACTCGCACGGGCTCAGTTCTTAATTGTCGATTCTTTTAATTGCTTCATATTTTTCCTTCTCTTACTTGTTCACATCCCTCAGTTTCTCTTGTCAATCACCCACAAGAATTGCTTTGTGTCCTCTTTTTCCTCATCCGTACACCTTTTTAAATAGCAATCTACAGCGTTAGACTTCCAGCGTCCCTCTTCCATAATCTTCTCTTTGTCCCAGCCCATGTTGAACCTTAACGAAGCACCTCCTACCCTAAACGAATGACCCGACCAAGCCCCCTTATTCACTCCATTCAAACCCCACACTGTTTCCATCATCTTCATGAACCTTAACTTGGTGAGTGTCTGCCTTTCCCCATCTACCATCACTGAGAAAAGCACGTCGCTCCTTTTCTTCGTGTAATGTTCCTCCGCTAACAATCTTACTAGCGCCAATACTGGGTCAAGTACTGAGTATTGCTCATGGAGTCTATATCTCCCGGAAGGATAAATTGTTAACCTGATGTCAGTTTCTTCTTTTGTTTATCCCCTCTGACATGTGAACTTACCTGATGAATTGTGACTCTCCTGGCTTCGCCGTTTTTGCCATCCTCAGTCTTATGACTGCTATCCTTCCTCTTTTCCCTCTTTCGAAAGACAGATCTTCTACCCTAATCGCTCCCTCTTCTACGGTTTCTCGTAGTAGTTCTCCGAGCCTAGCCATCCCCCAGAAGGCTACTAAGGCCAACCCTGGGCCAGCAACGCAGGTGTTGCGTGTTGCGCTGCGCCTGCGTTGCGATTTTTCTGACCGCAGCGCAACATAGAATCAAATTCTAGGTTGCGGCCTGACCCGCAGCGCACCATCATTTGTCAAATCGATGGATTTTTTGGGCCGCAACAACATTTCACTACAAGAAAGATAATATTTTCTGGGCAGAAAATTAAATTATTGATACACAAAAATATTGAGAGGCCAGGAGAAGGGCAAAAAATAAATAAAAATATGCATCTTGTTCCCTGCGGTGAGAGCTTCACTCTCCATATTTTTCCATATTTTTACAGTCCGTATTGATAAGTGTACTAACAATAAACCTTCACAATCATCCAATTACAACCTGTAACAAGCACTGAGATTTGGCTCATTAGTGTTTAGAGAAACTTTTGATTTCTGAAAATACTCATACTTTTTCAATTCCGGTCCAAACGCTCGATTTTGGGTGCATTGGTAAGCTGGATTGTCCTCCAAATAGTTCATAATAGGACCACACAGCATGCTGGTCTGCTAAAAAAGATATAATCCTTTTTTGTACATTTGTACATACAGATCCATAGAATGATTGTCATACTAGCTACATAGTTCTTGACCTTATGAAAGTTTGAGAGGAAGAGTTCAGCTTTCTAATGCACTTAAAATCGAGTGTTTTGAGGCAGATTTGACAAAGTTATAGGTGTTTTCAGAAATCAAAAGTTTCTCTAAACACTAATGAGCCAAATTTCAGTGCTTGTTACAGGTTGTAATTGGATGATTATGAAGGTTTATTTTTAGTACACTTATCAATACGGACTGTAAAAATATGGAAAAATATGGAGAGTGAAGCTCTCACCGCAGGGAACAAGATGCATATTTTTATTTATTTTTTGCCCTTCTCCTGGCCTCTCAATATTTTTGTGTATCAATAATTTAATTTTCTGCCCAGAAAATATTATATTTTGTGTAGTGTTTGTTGCGTTGCTGCCCAAAAAAAATCACAGTTCGGCGTTTTTTTGGCGCTGTTGCGCCTGTTGCGTTGCGCGACGGTCAAGGCGCCGCGCAACCTGACCTCACCTTTTGTTGTTGCGGTACTTACCGCAGCGCAGCATGTAATGCAGGTTTGTGCTGCGTGTTGCGGAGCAACGCACCAAAAAACACTCGTGTTGCGGTGCGTTGCGTTGCTGGCACAGGGTTGCTAGGTCGTGTTGTGCTGATTTCCCGTTCATCTGTGACATCATTTCAAAAAGATCTTGTACGGTGATCGGTTTCTTCTCTCTTTCCGTGTTGCTGTTTGTCGACATCTCCTTCTTTGCCGCTGCTCTCTCGGTCGACTTCAACAGCCAGTCTACCATAGTCTTGTCTAGTTTCGGTTTGGTGTGATGCTTCGCCATATGCCACGCCTTCAATCCGGCCAAGTACTTTGCTATTGTTCTTGACTTCAATTCCCTTCCTGGTCCTGATTCTTTCCCCACTTCTGACGGGCCCGCCCATACTATAAACCCATACACGTCTTCTACGGTCATTGGCTCCTCATTTCTGAATTCCCTTCCTGCGCTTTCTATATATGCTTTGAATTTCTGAACCGCGCTACTATATCCTTTCAAGGTTTTCGGTTGCCACGCTCCTTTTACTAGGTGCTCTGTAATCGTCTCTTTTTGTCTTTCTTCTCCCTCTACTTTCACCGACTCGCTAAAACTGATCGACCCTCTCTTCCCCTTCGAGTTCTTTGTCATTTTTCTTCTCGTATTCAAGTAACGGTCTTAAATCTACTGGTAATTCTGGTTTGAGGTAGAAGAAGATTGATTTGTTACCTCTTTCACCTCTCGATAAAGCGTCTGCGTTATTGTCTCCTGATGCGACACATCACTCCTCTAGCTCACACCCCAGGTAAGTAAGACGTTTCTGCAGTTTTTTCCACTCCTCGTTCACCGATTGGTCTCTTGACTTATGATTTCTAATTACAGCTTCTGTGCCGGTATTGTCCGTGATCGCCAAAAATCGTCTTCCTCTCGTTTCGAAAAGCATCTTCACCATTTCAAGGCCTATCCTAACCGCCACCGTTTCAGCCCACGCAATTCCTCTCTTCAGCCCGTCTTTCTCTGTCTTATCCCAGCCTTTCTTGTATCTCAGTTGGGTCCAGAACTTTCCCACTATTACTCCTATTCCATAGCTCGTCGACGCATCGCCGACCCAACCTACGTTTTCAACTCCTTTCCTCGGGATCAGTTTGTGGTTCACGAACTTCGCCAGCACTTCCTTCCATTCCAACAGGTCTGCTCTTACTGTCGCCGGTAACTTCCTTATCGCTAGTTTGTTCTTCCATGATGCTTTAAAGGCGTGTAGCGCCATACAAAAACACTTCATGTGGGGTAACATGTATGTCACGTGTACCAGCCTCCCAGTAAGTTTCTCGATCTCCTTATACGTGTGTGAGTCCTTCTTCTCCAGCGCAAAGTCTACTTGTCTCATTCTTTCCCTCTTCTTCGTTTCCGGCAAGCGTACTGACCGCTCTTTTCCGTTCCAGACAAATCCAATGTACTTTTGTTCCTCGCTAAACTCCGCATACTTTCCCTCATTCGTCTTCACCCCTAAACTTGCACTAGCTTCTACTACTTCCTTCATCGACACCGGCCTCCCTGTTTCTTTCAGCCTTACGAACAGATTGTCATCTACCCATCTAAACACTGCTATCAATTCGAACCTCTCTTTCATTATCGCTCTCCACGCGTCCGCTGGCCCTCCGAAACTGCCACACCCCGCTACACCACCAAACGTCACTCTGAGGTCCACCAGTATCCATCCTTCTGGTGTCCTCACAATCAGGTACCTCCATTGATTTTGTTTCGTTGGGATTTGGCGGTAAGCCTTTTCCCAGTCGAAGATTCCCACTTCTACCTCTTCCGTAAGTTGACTGAAGAAATCTGCAACTTCCTTAAAATCATCCCAACTGGTTTCAAATTCCTCTTTATTTACCATCAAGTTTACTGATGCTATTTGTTTTTCTCTTTTTGGGTATGACAGGTCATTTATAACTCTCGTCGTTCCGTCTCCATTGGTCACCATCCCCATTGGACTTGTCCGAAAGAAACCTATCTTCTCGAACACCTCCTCCTCCGTAAAAGGTCCCCTCATCCTCCCGGCACTCAACTCCTTCTTAAGCTTCTCTCTTATCTCATTCTCGCATTCCTTCAAAGTTGGGTGATTTGGTGGCGAGTAGTACTGTAAATCTCCTAATGTATGTTCTGGTATACCTTGGTGGAAACCCTCCTTAAACCCTTCTATCACGTATCCATGTTCTTCCATCAGGCCGTACTTCTTTAGCTGCCTTTCCCACTCCTCTATATCCATCTCGCATTCGACACTCTCTGGCCACTCTCGTCTTTCCAGGTAGCCGTGACTTGTGACTTCTCTGATCTGTTGTTCTCTGCTTCTGCCTTCTTGCTCTAAATCTCTTTCTTTCTTTCTCAGCTCTTCTATTTCTATTGTTACCACTTCCTCCGTCTCCATCTCTCTTTCTCTTGATTCGCTTGTGAACAATTCTTCGACCTCCTTTGCCGAATCCTCTGCTTCAGCTGCTTTCTCTTTCCCTACCTCGGCCTCTTTCTCTCTGTTCGCCGCCTTTCCCTTCTTGCTTTGCCCTTGTGGGCCTTCTTCTCTTTCTCTTTTAGGCGTATCTCTCTGGAATATGGAGCTTATCGACTGCCCCTTGGGTCTGGGACTCTTCGACTTCACGTTTCTCTCACTGGGCAAAGGGAATAAAGGTTCACGTGCAAATAGCAGAAACAAAAGTATGTTATTTCATTTTCTCTCTCATGTGACATCATACTCTGAGGCTACATTGACTTTTCCTTTGTCCTAAGACTCACTCTTTTGTAGTCCCTTCTCCGCTTCCGGCGCTACCTCCGTTACTCTGTCCCCTTTGTTTCGCCCACCATCCTGCACCTCTACCTTGGAACCAACCGCTGCCCCTTGCCTGGGAGCCTCTCCCTCCACGAATGCTTCCTCTAGGTTGGCCTCTTCCTCTTCCCCTTCCAGCACCTGTATCGCGTACATCACGGATTCAACCTTGTCAGTCTGTTTATCTTAATCTCAAACTTTTCTTTATTTTCCACTCACCTCTGTTGTTTGCTGACGTGCTCTCGCTGTTTGCATAGCCTACCCAGTTCGTGCTCACCGCTGCCGATCAGCTCGATCTAGTCCAACCGGTTACTGGGTCTATGTTCTCCCATCCTCCTCCCGCGACGTACGGGTTATCCGCGAATCTTCTTTCACCACTAGCTTCCGCGTCTTCTTTCGCTTCACGTAGGAGGTCTTCGTGAAAGAAACCGGCGTCTTCCATGACTCTCTTGCCATCAACTTTCTTCACCTTCATCACGATCAATCGTACCTTCATATCGTACCTCAATGCCACCATCCAACACTTGGTCAACCTCTTCACTTTCACGATGTTTTCTTTGTGCTTCAAAAACATCTTCGCTGCTATGGGTCTGCCATATTCCTCTTTCAAGTACCTTACGAACAACTCGAACGCATCTATCCAGGCACCGTAAGTCATCAACAACTCCTCTCCCGGTTCTAGACCTGAGTACTTTGCTGATGCATCATCATCTTGTAGTTCTTTTAAGGTTTTTGTCTTCTTCCCCGCCGCACGGTGATCCTTCTCAATCCAGCTCGGGTCAAAAATCGACATCGGTACATAGGCTTTTAAAGTCTTCATACGGTTCTCAAAATACGGTGTCAGGGGCATCAATGTTGATCCGCTCAAAGGTTTTCCTATCCTGTACGTTATCCCTCCTTCTTCTTCTGCACACGGAATAGTACACGTCAGCTCACTTTCTCTTCTCTATCTCTTCTCAGTTTCGCTCTCACCGTCTTCTTGTTCTTCCCCTGTCTCCTCTACCTCTTCTTCCGCTGTCTCCTTCTCTTCTCTTCCTTGGTCTCTCGCCTCTCTCTCTGCTGGCCTGCCTCTCTCTTCCTCGTGACCTCTATCTCCTTCTATTCGTTCTTCTTCATCGCCTCCATCATCGTCTCCTATGATCAGGGACTCCTTTCTAGGTCTCTCGTCTCTCTTCCTCATCGGCGATCGGGCTCTCTTCGGTAGAAGTCTTCTCCCTTCTTCCGTCGGCTCTTCTCCGTACATTAAATTGAAACCTTTCAGCATGTCTGTCGCAAGGACGTCTTGCTCTGTGTCCATCGCGAAGCCAATAGCTTGCCACCACTTCTCTTTCGCCGTCATCTCCTCGTATGGCTCTGTAGGTTTCAGACATTCGCTTCATCAGTCTATGCTTTATCTTCCTCTGGATCTATCACGCTCCTCTCCTCTCCTATTCCTTTCCTCTCTTTGTTCAACTTCCTCTCTCTTCTTCCTCTCACCCTAGGCCTTGCCCCTCAGGTTCCTCTCTCTTCCCTCTAATCACCTCTCATGTGGTTCTTCCCGAGACCTCTCTATCTCTTTCTTCTCTCTCTCAATCCTCGATATGTACAAGGCCCCCTTTAGGGTATTGAGACAGTCTGGTGCTAAGTGTATGGGACTCCACGTTTGTTTGAAAGGGAATTGGGGAAAGACGGAAGGCGGAAGTATAGTTGGAGAAGGAAATTTAAAGAGGTGGTTTAGAGGTTGGTAATCTGGGATTTTATATACGAAAGCTCTTGACTTGATATGACCTGCTTTGTACGTCCCGTGGCTTTCACTCGTAGCTGTGACTGAAGGTGCAGTTGAAGAAATTTTCGGGGATATTGACTTGTGCTTACTCTCTCCATTTCCGTCTACTTGTTCTTCTTCTTCTCTCTCTAGCTCTTCTTCCTCCTCGTCTCCTTGTTCGTTCCCCGGTAGTCCTTTCTTCTGTATCTGGCTGTTTGTCGTCCCTGTTGGGTTGTTGTTGTCTCCAGTCCTTCCGGTATTCGTTTCTACTCCTGCCGTTCCGCTTCCGCTACTTCCTTCTCCTCTGTTGGATGACTGGCTCCTTGTCACTGTCCTACTTGTACCTTCTACCTGACCTTTCTTTTTCATTTTAATTCCTGCCGCTATAAGCTTTGCTTCAGTCTCTTCTAACTTGTTTGTTAATGAGGTCATTGTACTTCCAGGTGTTTCCGGTTTTCTGAAATATACACTCTTGTTTTGTCACGTGTTGAGATCCTGCTGGCTATTTTGAGAATCTCCAACCGTGAGAATGGATAGTATCGATAAGGTTTTGGTCGAAGTAGGTATAGGGAGAGTTAGAGTTGTTTGTAATACACTCTCATCTCTCCCCTGTGAAAAACTCTGTTTGGGATTATGGGTTTATACCTACTCCGCTCAAAACTCTATCATGGACTTATATCCTAAGTCGTGCCTTTGTTAAGATTGGCAATGATGTATCCAATCCCCTTGACAATTTATCAGTATTGTTATCCAAGGATGTTACACGCACGAGGTTCAGGTCACAGTCGTTCGCGATTAATAGACCCTGAACCTTTTTCCACTCGTCGTTAACCCAGAAGTCCTTTGATTTCCTGTTGCGCCTCGCCCCTTCTGTGGTGGTGTTGTCGGTCAAACATGAAAAACTGAACCCGTTCACATTCATAATTCTTCGCAACATGATGAAACCTAACCGTACTGCAACGGTTTCCCCCCAGGCGATGGTTTGCCTTTGTCTATTTTCTGGTTGGTCCCATCCTTCCTTGCACTTAAATTGAGCCCAACGTTTTCCTATGATAATGCCTATACCATAACTGCTTGAAGCGTCCCCCACCCATCCAACATTCTTGATGATGTGGTCGGGTACGATTCTCGTCGGCGTAAGATTTTTCAAGGTGGTTTTCCAGAATATCATGTCTTCCAAGACATCATCATTTGCCTTCACTCTTGACCACCCTCTCATCCTAGCTGCCCATCTAAAGTTTCCCGTGAGATAGCACTTCAATTGCGGGAGTATCAGAGTTAAATGACCTAACTTCCCATTTATCTTTTCGGCTTCGTTCTTGGACCATAATTCCTTCGTCCAGAATGCTTCAATTTCAATTAAACGTTTTTCTAATTTCGTTTGAGGCAAAGTTACTGTCTTGTTCTTCGCATTCCATACAAAGCCAATATACTTTTGTTCTTCTGCAAACTCAGAGTATTTCGTCACATTAGTTTTAACAATACTTACAATAGACCCGTTATATTCTATTCCAACGTGGCAACAGCCTGCCAAACCACCCCTCCCCTTCTATTGGCACCTGGGTTAACGATGAAACCAATTATACTTGGTATCATCGATAGTTGTCATTGTATATCTCTTGAACTTTCCTTCTTACCAACCCTGCCTATCCCTCATTTCAATCCTGACTGGAAGAGGTTGAGAAGTGCACTTGCCGAAGAGTGGGAATCTTGTTATGTTGAAAACATCCAGGTTTTCAAAGAATGGCGAAATCAATGCAGCTCAATTGCAGGATCTAATTGTGAATGGGTAGAGGAAGTTTTGTAATTCAAAAGTTGTAAAAGTTGTTTTCAAAAGTCGTATATTCAAATGCTCTTCATTTCTAATTTTTCAATTACTTAATCAATCTGATATCTATTCAATCTAATACATTTTTGAAATTTGATTGAAATATCCAAAAGTGGAAAAATGTGGTCCCACATGTGGAATGAGATTTCCCACATGTGGAATAGGATTCCCACATGTGTGATGAAGGGTCCCACATGTGGAATCATAATTTCCACTTTTGGGAACCTTCATCACACATGTGATATCCGCATTCCCACATGTGGGAACCCCTTTCCCTCATGAGGGAACCCCTTTCCCTCATGTGGAAAACCCATTCCCATATGTGGGAAGGGCGCGCCCACATATGGGATCCCAATTCCCTCATGTGGAATCATGCTTCCCACAAATTTGCTCAAATAATACCAAAGGTGACATCACATTTCACACCTGTGGGAACCTTGTTAACACGGTGATCACAATTCCCACCACATGTGGAATCACGGTTCCCACATGTGAGATCATGATTCTCAAATGTGGGATCCTGATTCCCACATGTGGAATCACCATTCCCACATGTGGGAATTAGGATCTCACAAATTTGCTTAACTAATACCAAAGGTGACATTACATTTCACACCAGTGGAATTGCATCACTTTGATTAATGCCTTAATATTAATCAAATTAACGCTTTCAAGCCATAAACCTGTCACACACAGCCACATATGCCATATAGATGAGATCCTACATTTGGGACTAATTTGGTCATATGTGATATTACTTCTCAAGTACACTTTTCACATGTGTGATCAAGTTCACTTATTCCACGTCAGAAATGTGGATCATTTGTGGGATTATATGCTCCACATGTGGGACTCCACCTTAAACATGTGGGATTACCTGGAATTACAAGTCCAAACATTTGTGAATCCTTGTCTCAGATGTGGGATCATTCATACCAGATGTGTGATTACACATCACACATGTGATTACACATGTCCCACATGTGGGACCTTATGTCACACACTGTGATCCCACATGTTCCAATCACTGTTTCCACATGTGGGATTACCGGGAATTACAAGTCCAACATTTGTGATTCCACGTCTCACATGTGGGATCATTCATTCCAGATGTGTGATTATACATCACACATATTTGTGATTCCACGTCTCAGATGTGGGATCATTCATTCCAGATGTGTAATTATACATCACACATGTGATCCCACATGTCCCACAGGTGGGATCATACGTCCCACAGGTGGGATTATGTGTCACACAATGTGTGACACATGATCCCTCCTGTGGGACATGTGGGATCACATGTGTGATGTGTAATCACACACTGTGGGATCATGTGTCACACAGTGTGTGACATGTGATCCCACATGTGGGATTAAACTTAGCAGTGATCATTATCGCCTTTCAGCAAGGCCTTCTGAGCTTTCGCGGCAAGGTTTTCTACATAATCAAACCAACGTCAGAACCCACAGGTTGGAATGTAGCTGAACAAGAGGATATTTTTCGGAATATATCACAATGTATCCAGTTTCCAATAGCCGGATTAGATCACGGAGCTTCAACAAGCTTTTAACGGGATAAATCCCGTCTTGGCGTTTTAACAACGGAATAGATCACGTAACGCAAAAGTACTAGCTCTTGTAATAGCTTTTGTATGTACTTTTAAGGGAAAAGACGGAATATATCATGTGGATGATTTATAAGGATTACTAACTATGGTTGTCTTCTTCTTCCGATCACGATTCGGATGAGGATTTCTCGTTAAAGATTGGACTCATCCCTTTCTTCTTACTTCCTGTTTCTGAGTCATCTCCATCATCCATGTTGAAATCTTCTAAAGTTATGACTGTCTTGTTATGTTGACCTTCTGTTTTGTTTGTTGGATTGTCTGATCTGTCCCCTTCGGATCCTTCACTGTCATCTTCTTCTACAACAGTTGATGTCGCTAGTTGCTTAGTTCCAGCTCTAGTTTTTGGACCTTTAAGTGCTGCTTTCAATATGTTCTCTCTAGCTTTTTGACTTTCTGCGTTTGATTGTGATTCCATTCTCGTATGGAGTAGTGGTTTCGAAAGGAAAAGAAACTTGATAATAGAATTCTCTAGAGCAGAGAGAGAGGACACGAGATGCTGAAAGCCGAGGAAACGCTGAAGTGAGAACGAGAAGGAAAGGAAAGTCTAAGGACTTGAATCAGGGAAAGGAGAGAAGCTTGCGGTTATCTGATAACCGGATCTATCATCTCTAAACGTGACAGGCACCAGGCACAATTCTCGACTTCTCAGCCAACTCGGTCACAAACCAGCGCTCAGACCGGTTGGACAAGTTCACTTAGCCAGTCATCTTGGGTCAAGCTCACATGGACAAGGGTTATTCCTCGTACCTCGTCAAAACCCATCCAATACTATCTCATCATACATCCTACGAGTTGGCTACAACTCTTTACATCAAGGATCTTTGCCTTCAGGAGGTGAAGTCCTCAAATTAGTGCAGGGGAACGCTAACCAAAGCTAATAGCTAACATCAAATCTTGCTGGCTGTTAACGTACATGAACAAATAAGAATGTGCTTGGAGTCTCAGAATACGGATCTGATAGCGTGCGCTAAAGCACTTATAAGCAACTCTCAAACAACAAACTTAAAGATAATGATTCTGACCTGATAGCGTGCGCTAAAGCACTTATAAGCAACTCTCGAACAACAAACTTAAAGATAATGATTCTGACCTGAATAAAAGATCAGATTGATAATGATTAGTTATAAGTTATTGCTAATTGATAACTGATCTTCGGTAGGTTTTTCTCTTCCCAAAGATATTGATTTGTATTCACCTGATAGCGTGCGCTAAAGCACTTATAAGCAACTCTCGAACAACAAACTTAAAGATAATGATTCTGACCTATAACAACAATGGTCTAATCAGAACTAATGTAGATGAAATATAACAGAATGAAAACAATTAATACCTGAATAAAAGATCAGATTGATAATGATTAGTTATAAGTTATCGCTAATTGATAACTGATCTTCGGTAGGTTTCTCTTTATTGATACAGCGTAAACAGTCATGATAAGTGAGAAGAACAAATAACATTAATATAAGATCATATTGATAAAGTAGAATGAAAGATGAAATTTTACTTACTTCTCTTCCCAAAGATGGGGAAAGAGAAGTAAGTCGAGTTAGGCAATGAGTACTATAAGTAGTGTGATTGATAATTAATGACGTCATAAGTCACATTTCGCATGTTGGTTAATCCTGCTTCCTTCCTTCACAAATCCGTTATTTAATCATATGTAACTTTTCTTATTCCCGTCGATTGGATAATTCAACACCCCCCCTCAATTGACATAATTAAAACACCCCTATTCATTACTACCTCTGAGTCCTATTCTTTCTCTGAATTCATTGAAAGTTCCAGGATGAAGGGGCTTTGTAAGTATATCAGCTAACATGTCCTCCGACGCACAATAGATCAATTTAATTATTCCTTCTTTCACTTTCTCTCTCAACCAGTGATGATGAATTTCAATTGCCTTTGTCCTACCGTGCATTACCGCATTTTCTGATATATCAATTGTACTCAAACTATCTGAATTCAATAGATACAGAGTGTCTTGAGGTAAATCTATAGACGCAAGTAACCTAGCCAACCATATCATCTCGTCACCAGCTTCGTTTGCCGCTCTATATTCTGCCTCAGTTGATGATTTTGCCACTGTTTGTTGTAGCCTACTGCGCCAGCTGATAGCTCCTCCACATAACATAAAAACATAGCCTGTTGTAGATCGTCTTGTGCTTTTATCACCTGCCCAATCTGAATCAGCAAAATGCTCTGGCAAAGAAAATCCGTTATTACTTGAAATGAGTGGTGATAATGATGAAGTCGGTGGTGAGATTTGTCTTTCATAATGTATACAGTAATTTAAAGTGCCTTTTAAATATCGAAGAACGTGCTTAAAAGCTTCCCAGTGTCTTAATGATGGATTCTCAAGATGCTGTGATAAACAGCTTACTGCGTACGTGATATCAGGTCTAGTACATTGAGATAAGTACATCAGACTACCAACACCACTTCTATACGGTAAGTTTAATAGACTGAACAATCTAGCTTCATCCGGCGTAGACTTAGTGAGTTTTGTTCCACCCGGAAAAGGAGTCGAAGCTTGTTTAGTCTCAATCATTCCAAATCGTTCCAATAATGATCTCGCCATGCCTTCTTGACCAAGTATATAATGATGTGGACCAGCTCTGAATATTTGAATTCCGACTACACACGTAGAAATCCCCATGTCTTCCATCGGCCAAAATCCACCAATTTCCTTCTTAAATTCATCAATGTTGTTTCCAGTAATAGCTAGGTCATCAACGTGTAGATAGAATAAACATACGTCATGAGATCTTCGTCTTATATACACACATTCATCGGCAGGTGATTGTACAAAGCCTGCCTTTAAGCATTTCGATTTGAAATCATCGTTCCACTCCCTAGCTGATTGCTTCAGACCGTACAGAGCTTGTAATAAGTTGGCGACTAGATCTTGTCCTTTGATTACGATCTCATAACCTTCAGGTTGCTCCATAAATATTCTATGCTTCAAACCACTGTTAAGAAAGGCAGCTATAGCATCCATAGAATGTATTGGTAAGCCGTGATAAGTCGCAAAGGCCACAACAGTCCGAAAGGAAGCTGGTTTCCCTGTTGGCGCAAAAGTTTCATCGTAATCCACTCCATGAGTTTGAGTATAGCCTTTCGCTACGATTCTAGCCTTATGTTTGTTGATTGAACCATCAGGATTAAGCTTGACCTTAAAATGCCACTTACTCCCTATAACAGGTTGATCTGAGGGTCTCGGAACTAGACGCCATACATTCCTGTCTTGCATATTCTTCATTTCTTTATTGCAAGCATCTTTCCATTTATGTCTATCTGAACTGTTCATAGCTGATTTGAAATTGTGTGGTTCTTGAACTAATCGAACTATAGATCCTACAGCGAATGCATTCGGAAATGAGTCATGTAAGTCTGTAAATGCACCTTCATCATCCCAATAAGCGTAACTTGCTGATGGTGTAAATCTTTCAACAGGTCTTCTGTCTCTTTCAGAGCGTCGAGGTGCAGTAGTGCTTGTATCATCTGATTGTTGTGGTGCAGGTTCAATATCTATAGGCGCAGTAAATTCAATGATATCGTCCTGGTGCATTCCTTCACCACCAGGCAATGGAGCGTCGTCGTCCTGCTCCTCCTGTGGAGGATCGAGAACGGAAGGATCCGATAGATGTAACTCCTCATCATCATCAAGCGACAAATGAGATATGTCGAAGGTCTTCATTTTCTTGAAAGGAAAAACTGTTTCCTTGAACAACACATCGTGCGATATTACGATATTGTTAGTGTCAAAAATAAATACCTCATAATTTAGATTGTGTTCAGTGTGGCCAAGTAAGATAGCCTGTCGAGATACTTGCTGAAACTTGCCATGACGGACAGCGTTTCTAATAAGGATGTAGCATAAACAACCAATCGGTCTAACATGAGTGACATCAGGTTGACGACCATGCCATATCTCAAAAGGGGTCTTATTATTTGGAAGTGAAGTTGTGATAGTACGATTCTTTAAGTAGACCGCAGATTTGATAGCGTACAGCCAGAACTTAATTGGGAGGTTAGCTTCGAGCATCATTGCTCTCGCCGGTTCAGTGATTGTCCTATTGGACCTCTCGGCGACTCCGTTCTCCTCAGGTGTGTAAGTTGCAGTTGTTCGCAAGTAGATACCCTCGTCCTTACAGTAAGGTACCAAAGTGTCATTTATGAATTCATAGCCGTTGTCGAGAGTAAAAGATTTAACTTTGGAGTTGCATTGCCTTTCAACTAAAGCAATGTATTGACGGATTTTATCAAATACTACGTCTGCTGATTTAGTAGTCAGACCGACAACATGACGATATCTCGAATAATCGTCGGTGAATAACATGAAATAAGAACTGCCACATATGGCATTGGTGCAAATGATGCCGCTGAGATCTAAGTGAATATTTTCTAAAAGAGATGAGCTTCGAATATGAAAATGATTGTGAGGAACACGATGCCCTTTAGCAAGGTCACAAGAATCACATGAAAATTTGTCGGGGATGACAGATGCATCAACGTCCAACCCCTTCACCACATCCTTTGCCACCATCGATTTCATATATCTAATATTCGGATGACCTAGACGGCGATGCAAGTTAATGACTTCGTTAGTTGATGATGTGCTAGCGTTTGCTTCAGGATTGATGTTGACAGCTGAAACCGGTCTCACGTATGATCGTAAAAATTTAGTACCATTGGTCAGAGCACCTTTGAAAGCCTTAAGATCATCTTTGATAATGATAAATGAATCAATCTCCTTCTTGATAATGAAGTTGTCGTTCAACAGGATGGTGCCTCCGATCAAACTGCGTTTGAGATCGGGAATATATAGACAGTCATTAAGCACAAAAACATGACCATCCGGACCCGAAAATTTGACACTTCCACGACCGTGAATCTTAAGGGTCGCCTTGCCACCTGCCATATCCAATGATTCGTTGTAGCTTTGAATATCAGTGTAATCAAAGAACACGTATCGCTCTTTGAACATGTGGTGAGAGGCGGCTGTGTCGATCAAGACCTCAGTAGCTTGTGGTTTGTCAGCTAATGATAGTTTAGATAGAGATTGGCATGCGATATGACTAGCTGAAGCGTTGAGAGAGTTGAATGCATTTTCAAGTTGTTCAACAGTAGGTTCGTCTCGAAATATGGTCGCCGCAGCCAAAGAATCACTTAAGTTCCTAGGAGGTTCACCATTCCATTGTCCTAACTTAACTCGTTGTTCAATCCATTCTCGTTGCAAGTGTTCGTTTCCAGGACGTTTGAAACATTTGATTGGTTCATGACCGTTACCCGTACATTTTGATTTAGTACATTTGACCTTGAATTTGCCACGAGATGAAGAGTTTGATACAAAGTGAGCTTCTGCAGCATGATGAATAGCCGGTGATTGTTTAGAGACAACAGAACCTCTAGTGAGCATAGAATCAGCATCTAATCTTTTCTTCAATTCCGATACAACTTTATCATAATTCTTGATACCCGCTATAGTTATCTCTCTGGCATCTCGAAAGTGATTGTCGTGAAGTGACATTAATAACTTTCGACCGAGATCGTCATCACTCATTTGTCCTCCCGCAGTCTTGTATTTGTTCACGGCGTTTTGAAAATTCTGAATGTGAGTCAAGAGAGGAACATTTGGTGCTTGAACTAAAACATTTACAGCTCGTTCTAGTAACAATCGAATTTCTTCGGACTTGCTGGAATGATGTTCTGCTACAGCCTTCCATAGTTTCGAAGGTAAGTCTTGAGTTTCAGGTCCGTCATCATTATAGATAGTTATTTTGGGTTCAAATCTAGCTCTGTTAATGTCGTCCATATTATTTAACATCCAGATCGTGATAGAGGATCGAGCAACTTCATCTGTGAATTGACTATTTTCCAATTTAATTTCATCCGAAGACAAATAATCAGAAAGGAACACAGATTTCAAACCACCACGGATAAAGGACGCCCATAGCGTATAATTTTCATCAGTTAGAAGTTTTGATGATCTTCCTAATGATTGATTTAGAAGCATAGCTTGTTGTTGAGGGCTTGAAAGATTAGGAACAATTGATGATGCCATATTTGTGTTGAAATTAGGATTAGTTGTAGGATTAGAATTTGGTAGTGGATTAGATGAAGGACTTGGATTCATAGATATGTCAGATGTTTGTGTTGTGAGTAGTTGTGAAATAAATCTAGTTGTCTGATCGGCTTCTTCTTCTGAAATTTCTGAGTGTTCGGATGAAGGTACTTGGCTAGTTGATTGTGAAAAGAAAAGATCCGGAGCTTGACCTTGACTCATGTGTTTATTCGATCGAAGATATGTCTCTTGCTACCATAAGAATGTGCTTGGAGTCTTGGAATACGGATCTGATAGCGTGAGCTAAAGCACTTATAAGCAACTCTTGAACAACAAACTTAAATATAATGATTCTGACCTGAATAAAAGATCAGATTGATAATGATTAGTTATAAGTTATTGCTAATTGATAACTGATCTTCGGTAGGTTTTTCTCTTCCCAAAGATATTGATTTGTATTCACCTGATAGCGTGCGCTAAAGCACTTATAAGCAACTCTCGAACAACAAACTTAAAGATAATGATTCTGACCTATAACAACAATGGTCTAATCAGAACTAATGTAGATGAAATATAACAGAATGAAAACAATTAATACCTGAATAAAAGATCAGATTGATAATGATTAGTTATAAGTTATTGCTAATTGATAACTGATCTTCAGTAGGTTTCTATTTATTGATACAGCGTAAACAGTCATGATAAGTGAGAAGAACAAATAACATTAATATAAGATCATATTGATAAAGTAGAATGAAAGATGAAATTTCACTTACTTCTCTTCCCAAAGATGGGGAAAGAGAAGTAAGTCGAGTTAGGCAATGAGTACTATAAGTAGTGTGATTGATAATTAATGACGTCATAAGTCACATTTCACATGTTGGTTAATCCTGCTTCCTTCCTTCACAAATCCGTTATTTAATCATATGTAACTTTTCTTATTCCCGTCGATTGGATAATTCAACAACAAATCCAGCTAACGCTAAAAATGTAGCAATACCAAGTTAACAAAAATTCCAGGATCTGGTAGCATAGATCACCACATCTAACGGAAAACGTTGGTGTAGATGGATGAAAAAGTTACGCTACCAGCTTCTCTAACACTTTTTTAGCGTAATTGGTCCAGTGTTGTATAAACCCCTCCTCTTCCAACTTTAGCAGAGAAACCTACTTATTATCATTACACAACTCACCATCAAAACATACTTGATTCTTCACCAAGAATATTGAGTGAAGTGATATTGTTGTACTTTCATTAACATACTTCCTTTCTTTAATTTGTTCAGGTTTTTGTAAAGCCTCAACTGGTGTTCTGAGCTGGTGGGATTAATAGCTAACAGAAAAAGCTTAAAATTTAACAAAGGGCACCTCATAAAGAGTCTAAAGTACCCCGCAGCACCTCTGAATCCTCAGAGTATAAAGAACTGTAGGCTCCAGAGTTTTGATACCAACCAGAGCTCAGAGCCAGATCCTTAGAAGGACAGCTCAGCCATCCCACTGGCAGCAAATCCTCTTTTTAGAGGTCAACTAACTGTAGTCTTCACTTGGGTGTACCAAGTGAAGACTCTTATTACTATCCTTACTTCACCTTTTTAGTTAAGAGTCAGCCCAATAGTTTCTGACCCCTCTCACCAACAATGTCTGCATCCGGGTCAAGCCTGCTCATGATAAATCATCAAATATTGGGTGTGCTGAGACCTTTTTCAACCACTACCAAGAGTGTTGCAATATGCATACTAGGAAATGTCAGCCTACAATCATCATGGCAAGAGATGAAAGAAGGTGCATGGATAATGTAGATTCAGTTTATAAGCATAGAAGTTGGCAAATCTGATCAGCGTAAGAGGGAAGAAATAGAGATTGATCAACTGTAGAGTGTAGTTTGATAGGAAACAATCAGGTAGGATATATGCTAGGTTTTGGATTGTGAAATTCCACCTTCATGACAATGGATTGAGCTTATAAAAGATTGACTGTTGGATATCATCTGCAACATAGTTTTATGGGAATTTCTGTGTATTTCATAGCATTTACAATGGTTGCCATTGTCTTTGCACTGACCACTATGGATTTCAAACTCAACAAAGCCCCTTGCTCCTTGCTAGGCCTTGACACGGGAGGAGCAACGGCTTTGTCAAGTTTTTATGAATGTAAGGTGTGGTGGATTGCATGTAGTGGAAGAATTTTTTTACATTGTGTACATTAATAGGATCTATCCAAGGTCCTGGGCTTGCAGCAGAGTCGCATGCAACTTATGTGTTGCAGTGGCTCTGTAGACTTCAACTTCACAAGCATGTTATAGCCCAAGGATCAGTAATGCCTTGGCCAGAAAGTGATGTAAAATATGCACATATGGCTAGAGTATACTTTATTTCTTTGTTTCAGTGGTGCTTTCTCTTGTAGGTAGCTGTGCAGAGGTATTTAAAGATTGAACCTTGCAAATTACTCAACTCTCACCTCATGGAGCATACAAGTTAGTGGTAAGTTACTTCTGAATCCAACCAGGCTGGGACAGCCTGGAAGTTGGATGAGCTCTCTGAACTACCTTTGATCCATGAGGTGAGATCATATAAATATTGATATAGGGGGTCGGTCATGTACGGTTCTTGCGGTGTCGTCATGGTCGATTAGCTTAGTTGGTAGAGCGTGGTACTAATACTGCGTGTATCAATGCCAAGGTCATGGGTTCGAGCCCCATATGGACCACTCCCCTTTTTTGAGCTCAAACCCTCAACCTTAATTTCTCTGTTGTAGAAACAATGTGGAAATTCACTTGTTTGTTTTGCTTTCTTTGTATGGATGCATTTTATGTGTGCTACCTGGCTGATCTCCTTTTCTGAGACTAAAGGGATGCTGGAATTTCACCAACGTCCAACAAAGAAACTGAATAAACCTTTTGCATTTTTTCCACTACAGCCATTCCGATATTGCTTGTTGCTCCGGTTTGAAAAAGGAAAAGTGAAACCTAAGTTTTTACCTGTTTTTACTCAATAAAACTTAAAACTTGGCTGTAATTCAAGGCAATACAGCCAAATTCCAGATTTTAGCCGGTTAAAACTTAGGTTTCAAGCTCACAAACTTTTTCTTTTTCAAACAGGTGCGACAAGCAATATCGGAATGGCTGTATGTGGAAACTTTGACATGTCATATTAAAATGGACGCTGTGTTTATGGATGTATCTGCTAACCACTTGAGTGTGTCTGGCTAGTTTTTGCTCCTTTATCAAATAAGCTAGTTGAAAGAACAACCCCCAAGCTCTTGAAGCAAAGAATTCAACTTGGTTGGTTCCATCCCCTTTGAGCTTTACCTGCCAAATTATAACTGGTGTGTTATTTTGGAGAAGTTCATAAATTGCATTTGGTCTTCAAAGTCTCCCTTACAAAGGTTTTTACACATGAAAAAACACCAGAACAGATTCCTCAGATGTTTTTGGAACGGATAAACCTAAAGGTTTTAGCCTTAAGAAACAAACGAGTTTCCCTTCCCTATGTATCACAAAGCAACTTGTATTCTTTCTTAGTGAATCAGCCTTTCCCCTACTCTCTTTCCACCCAGAAGGCTATTTCCTTCATCAAGCATTTGTTTAATATCAATAGGATCATTCTCCTCCACAGAACCATTGCCCGCAAATCCTTCATCAGCTGTTGTGTATCCTTCTGGAGATGTCAAAGCATTGAAACTGTACAATTCTTTGCAAAAAAGAATAGTCAGGATTTCAAGCTACAGATCAAAGGTCATAAGCAATAATGAAATTTGATATCAACCTCCTGGTGAAGCCTTTGTAGAAGTGTGTCTCAAGTCAGCTTCATCCAATGAAATTTTCCTCGGTTGTTCAAGTTTTGCATCACGCGCTTTTGGGTCACTTAATCCTCTGTGTTCAAGGTCTGTGAAGCTATACAAAATCAGCTTCATCGTTGGGGAGTTTGTAAGTCACGAATCATGAAGTTTTCATTTCAATTTTTTTTTGGCAAAAAATTATTGTTTTTTTACCTGCCTCATTTACAAAATGTTGGTAATCCTCATCAAGCTCTGTTTAACAGTTTTCAAACAATGAATTGAAATTTGAGTCCAAATCATATCCATGCAATTTAAGAATAGACATTACTGATCTCCTTTAGTTAAAATATTGGGAACTAAATAATAATAAAGCAAAAGAGTATTAAGATTTATTAGTAAAAAAACCTCATAACCCCGGAGATCTCAGTTAATATTCCAGCCATACCTATATGAGTTGTTTCCAAGAAATCTTCTTCATTTCCACACAAGATCTTCATTAAACTTTTCTTCATCATAGGTTTTGTTAAAGCTCTCCAACTTGATTTACCTCCTAATTCATTGTCTTGTCTTATATTCTTCTGGTATGATTGGAGAAACAAAGTCAAAGAATATTTTTTGGAAATCAAAGATTTATCAATCAATATCTTTGGTCTATACAAAGATATCAATTTGAAAATCATGAAGGTTTGTAGTAAAGGAATTTGATATGAACCTCTTGCTGGAGTTTTTATAGAATTACATCTCAGATTTGTTTTGCTAAATTTGATTCCGGTCTTTGATTGAAGTTTTACATCACGTGCTTCTGGATCACTTACTCCTCCGTATTCGAGGTCTGTAAACAAACAGAGAATTAATATCATTCATGATAACCAATTAGACAAACAAACATCAGTGAAATTATATCTTTTTTTTCATTTCAATAAGCAAAATTAATTGCCTGCATCATTTACAAAGTTTTTGTAATCCTCACCAAGTTCTATTAATTGTTTGGTACACCCAACTTGAGTTTATACTCGTAGTTTTATTCTAAGAGTTTCATAATGCAAACCACTTACCTCCTTTGGGTAGACCATTTGAATCCAAGACTATAAAGAAGGAGAACAATTGTTAGTGTCTCTCATTGTCATGTTGCTTGAGATTAAAGGTAATTTTTCCAAGTCAAAATCTTACTTACTTGAACATGATCTCGTTCTGTTGACCAAACCAAAAATCAATCAAAATCTATTGAATTTCTTTTACCAAAACCAATGGTTTCCAAACTTCAAAGTAGACAAAAGTCATCACTCACTTCTTGAAGGACTCAGGCCAATAGGATGACTAGATGATTTGCTATTAATATTTTCTTTTTCATGGGACGTCATTGACAGACTGAGAGATGAAGAAGATGAAATGAAATCCGATGAAAATGGACATTCTTCATAAACAAAACAAGGGGAAGAGGAATCTGATTTGGGTGAATGTTTGACTTGGAAATTTACCTAATTACTATTGGTGTAATCGCTAGATCTAGGATTTACTTGAGGAATCATCTGTTTGAGTTCAAATTACAATATGTAGTTGAGCCAAATTCAATTGCGGTCATCATCCCATCTATAGTTGAGACGCACTTCCATATCACATCTCACCGGGCCATGTAGTTGCTTCTTGCCAATGGCGTCGAGCAAAAGTGGCTGTCTGGGTTGATTTGGAGTTTAATATTTAGCATGGTTTATAGGGGCCCGATCGGTTGCCGTCAACCTCGCAGGTGTACGCCTTGCAAGCGTATGCATGTGCAGGTTGACAAGGTCCGCCTCACAGGTTGACTGAGAGACTGGGCTGTTTGGTAGCCCAAACTCAACCCTCATGAAACCCAAAGTCCATGGGTTTAAATTTACAGCGCTTCAAGAATCCTTCGATTTTTTTAATGCAAGAAAACAAAATAAATGTCCAAAACCCTTGCTAAAACCCTTGCTGAAACCGATTTTGTACTAGAATCTGTCAAATTTGAGCTGTCCAAATGAGTTTTTTCCAAGTTTTGTCCAAAACTTTAAAAAAAAGACCACCAAATAAACCAAAGGATTCTTGAAGAACTGTAATGAAGAGGCTATTTTTTGAAGTCTTTCAAAACATCAATCAAAAATTGATCAATATTTCATTCCACCCATTCACCTCAATTCAATATTGATTGATATTTCATTTCAGCAAATGAAAGCATATACAGATCGTCTTAAACTTCCTGTGTTGGAAGTCAAAATACTGTCAATGAATTGTCTTCAAAGCTCCCACTCTGCTATTAACCTAAACGTTACAATTCATGTTGCTTTGATTTTAGATTTTCAAGCTGTTTTTTTAAAACATAACAATGATGTGTTTGTTATTTTCTGCTTTGAGTGCATGAATATCATCATTTATGTTAATAAGATAATCTAAATATAAAAAGAAAGAAAGATGAATCGAATTGATTTGATAGAGTTTTCTTTTTGAAGCCAAGTTCATGGCAGTAGGCAGGTCAACCTGCCAGAATGCAGCAAAACGGTCAACCTGCCAGGTTGACCATTTTGGCTGGTAGACCTGCGGGGTGTACGCTTCACCCTTTTTGAAAAAGGGTGTACCAAACGGCACAACACCCAGGTGTACGCTTCAAACTGCCTTGAAGCGTACGCCTGAACTTTTAGCTGGGTCAACCTGCAAGGTTGACGGCAACCGAACGGGACCTAGGTTTCCTTCTGATATAGTTCAACACCGCTGGTAACAACACAAGCAACAGCTCTGCATTCAGGAAGCGGTTTTTACAAAGGGAGATGGAATTTTACACAAGCCACTTTACACAGACTACCCCGGTGTAAAATTCAAAAAAGGCCCATTTTGTCAACTATAAGAGGTTCTGCGGAGCAGAACCTCTATTAATTTAACAAATACATAACCAAATGGTTGAACCATTTTAGAGAACAAAATATACATAGTAAATAAAAAACCTACATCGCTATCACTCAGTGTCAAGAGTGTAAAACAAAAATACTTTTAATAGTTAGATAATACCTAAGTCGAGTTAACCAAAAACTCGAGATAGATTTAAAAGAAAGGGTCTGGTCTGACGAACAGACCCTGACCAGCTGAACCCTTAACTACCAATCCCCATCATAGCATTCGACTAGACTAGGCAAAATCAACCAATGACCTAATTGAACCCTGAAGGAAATCACTCGTCAAATCAAGGAAAACCAACATATAAAATGTGAGGTACCTTTTTGATAAAGAAGAAAAATCATCTTTTTACTTAACACCAACTTTTTACACAAATTCATTTTTAAACAATCCCCTGTTTTAAAATAAAAGATCAAACTCGCACTCTCATTTTCTTTTTTCATCTGAATCACAGTTATACTCTAAAATCTTATTCCTTAGTTTCTTATCCTATCAAACTCGTGTTCCAGATAGATATTTCTTTTTTCCTTCTCTTCATCCTTATCATTTTCCACCCCCTCAGGACGTTAAAGATTGTGATAGCATAATCTATCTTTGACTAAAGTTCCTAATTTCAACCACCCATTTTTGATAAAGACCTGTTTTATCAAACTAACGCTGAAGCGTCATCCTAAGGCACCACTTACAATTAAAACCCGTATTCTCCTTGGAAGGTAGTTGAAAGTGAGTGCATTTTTTTCTTCAAAACTGGCAGCGGTTTCATTCCGCACCTAAGACAGTTATAACTAACATCTATAACTATTACCAATTACTCACAAAGAATCTGAAAAATAATCTCCCTCTAGTTTTGAGAAAATTCTTGTCTAAAACTAGATAGAATACATTTTGTGAGTACATTTCAACTTCAAACTAGCTAGTTCTTCGCCGAATCATAGTCTCAAGTTGACACATTTTTTCCAATTTTAATCAAGTCCCTCAATCCTTGCAAGGCCTCGTGACAGTGTGAGGGACTTGCCCCCCCAAAAAAAATCATTGCCTAAGAAGTAGTCTGTATCAAGCTCAAAATTAATACATCACTTTAACTTTGCTATGCATCAATAAACCCATCTTGAATCAAAGAAACAAAATGAGGGTGATCATATATATTTTCTTGAATTTCAAGTGCTTTCAGATGATCTACCAGTGGTCTTTTCAGCTGTTTCTGAGCGACGAACCTGCTTGAAGCCTGCATGTCTCAGAAACAAGTGAAAAATTCCAACCATGGATCACCCAAGAGAAAAACTCCCCAGGGAGGTACAGGGTAGCTTGAAGCTTGAGACAAAGAAAGTGTAGGAGATCACTGAAATCATCTTTTTCCTTTGCTTAAAAATGGATTTCTTGAGCCACTAAAATTTTGAAGGGTTATATTCATTTTTAACTCAATACAGGCCACTTCTCAGGCCAAACATGTCTTCTTAGTGGTAAGCACCTGAGGCCATGCTAGGAATGAGGGACTTGGTTAAGTTGGCATTTTTTTTGAATTCTATACTGATGTTTTGTTTTTTTGTCTGTGCAAAAAATTCCTGGCTTGAAAGTTCAGTGTAAAAGTGCAGATCCCAGAAGTGGTATGGATTGTTAAACTGGAACTAGCCCAATCAGAGGTGGGTTCCACATTAATGAATCACACTTGGTTGTTTCTGCATCTTGCTGCGTCTTGTGGTTTGCCATATATATCATTATTATCTTGAAATATTGAATCTTTCTCTCGCAAGCATCCAGACATACTCAGGTCTGCACATCACATATTCAATTTATTAATCTACCAATGGACCTTCATAACACACATATATGTAGAAGCATCACAACACATAAACAGGAAAACAATAAAAGCACCAAAATAATGAAAATGATAAGAAGTAAGAATTAATTTGTCAACTGTTGATTATGTAGGAGAGCCAGGACCCCGGTATGCTCCTATGAAGGGTACAGATCTAGAATTGTGACTTTTGAGCTCGCGCGGAGATACGACATATGGGATTAAACAGCGTTCTCTTGGATTTTACCGGTTTCTGCCTGAATTTCAGAGTCGCTAAGTCCAATACAGCTGATTGAAAAGACTAAACCTGTCTTAAAGCTATGGGTAAAGCCAGGGACAAGTTTCCGAGCAAGCTCAAAAGTCACATTTTTGGATCTGTACCCCTTATAAGAGCATGCCGGGGTCCTGGAGAGCCTTGCTTTTGATCATCAACTGTAGGAAACATTTCTAGGGTGAGTTCTGCATTCCTTAATGCCTTAGACCTGCATGTTGGCTCATTCCACTTCTTCTACCTTCCCAGATTCTAAGTGATCACCATGCAGTGTTCACTCCACTCAATCTTGAGGCTCAAGTTCAGTACGCCCTGGCCATCCATGCATGTTTCCTGGAGGTCTTCAGGTCTATTCCAGGACCGGCTCTCAGCTTTACACAAGCCTCACCAACCCCGCGTACCTCCCGGAGCTTGAAATACTGTTACCGTAAGGCCTGCAGCATCTCAAGGTCAAAAATTCAAGGGAAGATCTTATTTGTTTGCATGCCGCATACGAGGGATTTAATGTCAAGGGGATCAGTTTTCCGTATCCGGTGACAGGACATTGTTAGATAGACAGAACACTCCAGCTCCTCGGCTTTATATGTAAAAATCGCTCGAGGACACGACCAAAAAAGAAATGCTCATTTGTGCAAACGTGTTATATAATATTTGATACAATTTTAATGTAGAAGACAAGGTTAGGATAGATTTATCGACTGTGACAGATCAGTAACCATCGAGGCCGACTTGCTGATGACCTGATAAATCACCCTTCTTTCTCGCCTCTCCTTGATGCTGGGTAACAGGATCCTTGGTAACTAAAAGACAAATCGATTCCCTAAGTATCAAAACGATTAAGACAAACAAGAAAGAGATGTACGAACTTTTTCCTTTGAGTTCTTCAAAGGTGCCTTTGACTTTATCGCCCACACCGGGTTTGTTCCCAGTAGAACTAGCACCACCTACGCCTCCGTGAGCATGTTGTGCACCATGGCCAGTGATGTTGTCTACAAAAGATGTTAGGTTTTAGTAAATATGTTTGACTATTGACTTGGTAATGGCACGGAGGTATCAAAAACAATCTTGCTGGAAAAGTATTCCACTCACCTGTTTGACCAACACCTCCCGCCGCGACACCGGCGCGAGCACCTAATAGAAAGACAAAACCTCAGCATCTCATCGAACGTTCTCCAGGATGAACCACAAGGTATAAAAGTATGACTTACCGAGCCCTTGATCGGAATAATCTCCACCGAGCCCTTCGCCAGCTTAAAGGAAGTGAAAAAAGTGAAACAAGAATGAGTTTAGGAAACCTTGAGATTGATTCTTCTATGAACGAACTCACTTTTTGCACCACCATGGTGATGGGCACCGCCTAAGAGGATATATCGTCATTTTCGAGCCAGTAGAAACCTTTATACTAGATTCATAAGCATGGACACTTACCTGGAACTTCACTCCCAAGACCTTGATCTTTACGTTGTCATAAATCGATGAACAAGTCATGAAGAGGTTTTAGTATCAAATCAAAAGGACAGGGAAGAAACTAATGAGTTCACGTGGAACAGAAACTAGGTTATTGATTATAATTGGAAAAACGCTAACGGGTTCGTTGACCAGTTTGATCGCCTAAACCACTATCATGAGTATTACTATTGAATGCCATTTTTGAAAATATAATTTATAATGATTAAGAATAAATTATGTATAGTAAGGTGATGGTAATGGTGATGGAAGGTAAACTAGTGAACTCGATTGCGAATATTTAAATAGTAATTCGAAAAAATCAAAACATTCAAAACCAATGATATCATGACGTCATGGATGATCTGAGAGATTAAGGGGATCACTCAATTCGTCATGAGACCTATGATCTTCAATAAACCACAGCCATTTCATTTAATCGTCACTCTCAAATCCAAGTAAGACAATTAACTTTGGCTTAACAAATCCGAGTGGTGATTGCTAAGATTACATAAGATATGATATCATTTTTAATCATCAATCAATCATTCAAAGAGGACAAGAACGAAGAGGATCCAAAATGATCGGATGAAGAACTCCTTTAAGCCGCTACCATTGCTTCAGAAAATCATTCCTTCATATCTGAGTTGACTCCAAATGTCACGAGTTCAAACTTGAATCCTTTGATCTGTCCTGAAAATCAAAGATGGCTTCATCAAGTTTGGTGAGATTGATTACCTCGTTCTTATTTTCCTCGGAGTTGAAAGTTCTTGTGCCTCTCGATCTGCTTCACCACTCCTCCGTCACCCACCATATCTTCTTCGAGCCTCCTTCTGACTCACAATTTCCTCCTTAGTCAACTTTGACCCTCTTTTCCCTGATAGGAGTTCATAATTTTATACTCTTTGAATAGACCATGCTTGATGATTTCCTTCTACTTCCTTGTCTTCTATCCAATACAGAATTCGTAATACGTCCAATTAGCACTTGAACTTGTAATCATTTCGAAATTTCTACCTTCCTTTTGGATCTTCTTTGAGTCTTGTTTGTTTGTATAACATCAACTGTTTATACTCCTTCAGCACTATGTCTATATAGCATAAAAACCATTCCATTACAGATTTCTGTCCTTTTTTGAAACCCACTAGATCCTTAACTCAAGAAACACAATACGTAAGATTGGTATAGATAAGGATTAAATCCAAATTAATGGATAGAGATAATAATCATCAGATGAAGGCTTTATTTTGGAACAACCTGTTTTACTATTCTGTTGTTTGGAGTTTTGCATAAGCTCCATGCCGAAGTTTACCTCCCCGTCAGCTCCATTTTCTTTTGCCTCTTTCTGCAACCCGGAGGTCTAAAACAAAAGCAGGATCGAGGAAAAACAAATGCCTCAACAGTGAGTCGAACACTGGACCTTTTGCTAGCACAAGATACTAGGCAAACGCTCTACCACTGAGCTACTAAGGCAGATGAACGAAATCTGCCAATATACGGTTTCGACAAAATCCGGCTGAAGTGAAATCGATAAGATACATATTTGAAAGTATCTCAAAACAACAGGAATTCTAACAAAATGGTACTTCAAGAAGAAAGTGGATGAAAAAAATCTGAAGAGATTGAATCAAGTGAAAGGTATATGGACAAAAACTCTAAAAGTATTTCTGCATATATTTGTATAGAAAAAATTGTATGAATGATATCCATGGTTATCGGATATCACTTGAAGACCGGTCTTGATCGGAGTTAAATTTTCGAAAAATAAAAATAAAAAAGTGATTTGTTTGTTGTTTTCTGCTTTAAGTGAATGGATATATACGAATGAAATGTAATCTATAAAGATGAAAGAAAGATAATTCGATTTGATTTAGATTCAAGCCTAGAGTTTTCTTTTTTCCGTAATCCTAATAAGAAAAAAAAACTCTAGTCGTTCAAAGATCTATCAAAACACATTCTAAGAGCCAATATTCATGTAATCTAGAATCTTGACTTAATTCAGGATGAAATGCAGTAGCTAATAATTTGCCTTTTTGAATTCCTACCGTTTGAGCATCTGGACCGAATCGATCTGATTTAGGTAAGATCGAAATCGGTACAGTGGTTAAAGTTTTAATACTTTCAGGTGATTGGATTGTATGAATCACTGGTGCTCTAATAAAGATTCCGGGAAACGGTCGAGTTGGATCTCGAATACAATCAATTTGTAATGCATGTTCAAATGATTCTGTCTAGGATTTTCAAAAAATCAAAGAAAAAAAAATGGGATTAACTTCAATGAAGAAGATCATGACGAATTCATTTATGAAGAATTGTGATGAAAAAAAAGAAATCACTCAAACTTGTCTACCCCATTGATTACGATTGATAAGGATTGGAAGACCACCTAAGACATCTTGACCACCTTTTTTCATACTACCTTCAATAACTTCATCAGATAATAAAATCATACCAGCACACGTACCCCAAACACTACGAGTTTTAACAAAACTTTTTAACCAATCTAAAAGACTAAAACCACTTTCATCAATTTGTCGACTAGCAATCAAACTCATAGTAGTTGATTCACCGCCCGGTATGATCAAACCATGACATCTTTCTAATTCTTTTGCAGTTTTAACTTGGATGGTCGTAAAGTTATTAAGTCGTTTTCGATTTGATTGATTCGATGGATTTGGTGAAGAAGTTGGAGTATTACTTGAAGGTGGAAATGAAGAAGCTAGTCGTCGTAAATGAGAGACATGTTCTGCGTAGGCACCTTGAAGAGCTAGGACTCCGATTGTTAATGGTGAATCATTTGATATTGGAGTTAAGATTGGTAATGGGTTAGAGTTAGCCATGGATGTTGATGTTAATGTTAATGTTGAGATTGAGTTGAATGAATGAAGTGAATCGATTGATGAAATGATTAATCCGAGATTGAAGCGTTGAATTTTTTCAAAAGAGTGTTGTAGTCTAGTCTAAAATCTCAATCCATCTTGACTCAAACTTCACTTGGATTTTGTATTCTGCAGTTCAAAATGTAGAGTTTTTACAAATGTATTCTCTTCAATTTCAAAACACCTTTTACTTTCAACTTCGCAAACATCCACGCAAGCTCTATTCATTTGTATCAACCCGGTGCCAGCAACGCAACGCACCGCAACACGAGTGTTTTTTGGTGCGTTGCTCCGCAACACGCAGCACAAACCTGCATTACATGCTGCGCTGCGGTAAGTACCGCAACAACAAAAGGTGAGGTCAGGTTGCGCGGCGCCTTGACCGTCGCGCAACGCAACAGGCGCAACAGCGCCAAAAAAACGCCGAACTGTGATTTTTTTTGGGCAGCAACGCAACAAATGTTGTTGCGGCCCAAAAAATCCATCGATTTGACAAATGATGGTGCGCTGCGGGTCAGGCCGCAACCTAGAATTTGATTCTATGTTGCGCTGCGGTCAGAAAAACCGCAACGCAGGCGCAGCGCAACACGCAACACCTGCGTTGCTGGCCCAGGGTTGTTTGTATTGATCTCAAGCATTTCCTAAAATTCTTGGCAAATTATCTACCAACATTCGTGAATGGTGATGGCATTCAAAACTACCTTTTCCATACTTGCATGATGTGAATTCACAGAACCTTTCGATCCATCTATGAAGTTCTTTCCAAGTTGAGATATGGCAAGATTCATTCTTCCTGACTGTCTAAGGGTCAAGACAACAACCTTCTCCTCACATTACAACATCCTCAATTTGCCTTGAGTTTGTCACCTCTGGTGAGCTTACGTTGATAGATGTAGATCTGTGGATCCTCTAGAGATCACGTCACATCAAATTTACCAAAAGGTATCAGCTGCGACTTGCGTGTTCTACAAATGTATGTAGCATACAAGGGCAGCATTTTCCGAATTGAACAAAAATCGTGATATATATTTCTTGGTAGATATTCTTCAATCTTTCTAAACGCGTCTATTTAGAATGAAAACAAAAGAATATGGATGTAGAAAATACGAAATCAAATGACATTCAAATTATTGATCCTTAAACAGCGTATGGGCAATCTCTGTTACGAGCAACAAGCAAGTAAAGTAATTCAAGGGTTTCCCACTGAAATGAATCAAGTTACAGAAACGATCAGGTTATAAGCTTCATTCAAAAAATCAAAGCTGATTGAAATGTAAATGACTTACGAGTGAGATACGGTCAGCTCCTGGTGCTTCAACATTGAAAGAGTATGCGTCACCAGGAATTACACCTTGAGGGAAACCATCCGGTTTCCACACTACATAGATAAAAATCAATCAATCAATCTTTTCTTTTCATTCTTTGGCTACTCCTTGATCAATGATCTTAGATTGAAGATGACGGATAACTTACTAAAGATTCGACTACTTTCTTTCTTAGGTTGACCATAGAGTGAGACCGATCCTTCAACACTATTGATACCTGTGGTACTTGGGCTAAACGGTAACCATTCGAAATTGGTTCCATCAGCTCGTGTGACTGTCCAAGCGTATAAAGTGTATTTGATAGATTGGTAGTGTAAGGTAAGGGTAGTTTTCTCCTCATCTTGAGCCACGACGTTCTTATCACAGTTTCTAGGGGGCTACGAAATTGATGTTTGATTAATAAGCTTTAGTTGTTGAATCGATCAAAATAAATTGACAGAGTTAAAATCAAACGTACTGTCTTGAAGAAAGCTTGGGCAGTGTTATTGACAATATAAGTGATCACACCACCGCACATCTTAGTGGTGATAGCTACGTTTCCTTTTGAATCATAGATTTTACCATCAGACCAATCGATATCTTTACTAAAAGCATAAGTCATATCAGATTTGAAAGGTGTGATAGGATTTGCGAAGGCAGAAAATGCCAATGAAGCTAAGATAGCGATGAAGAATTGTGCAGAAATCATGATGTTAATAAGTTAGTTGTGTTCGTTAAGATTTAAAAAGGAAAAAAAAGATTATTTATCGACGGATGGTATGATTATTTTTTCACAATTATAGGAAATGATTTCGATGAGGTCAAAGGGGCAGAGAAATTGAAACAATCCAGTTTTTATATCACTTCTGATGATTTTCTATGTACACTCGGTGGTAAGGCTGATTTTTAACTGCTGTTTATCCGCTCATCACAACAAAAAAAAGCCACCAAAAGAAGATACGAGAATGACCATTACAATAATTCTACAACAATCCGGGTGTGGACTTTGTCGTCGTTCAGGGGCATAGGTGGGGTAAGTGGGGGATCCCACTTTTGAAAGAAAGCGCTTCAATATGCGCCTGTATTCTCCTCCCATACATGTGGCCCTTTGACTTTTGGCCTCGTCACGCACCGGTGCCTCGTGGTTTCCCTACACAGCGATGGCACGAGAGATCCCGATTACAAAGATGTGGGGGGATGAATCATTTCAAAAAAATCAACCTCGGGCATACTTAAACATCAAAGGTAAGTAAAGGTTGGCCAACGATATACTTGTACTTCATATATATTCGACCTCATAAGCCTTGTAACAAAATGACTCTCATACACTCTTGATCTTTGTAGCCTTCACCTTTTTGCAAATGTTATGGTCTTGACTCATGGAGAATGCAAGCAAATTCTACAGGTGTCCTGCACCGAGCCCATTTATTCGATGAGATCAATATCTTAAAAAATCAATTCCAAGGATTAGGTAATCAATACCGAGTCCAATCAGTAAATAAGATATTTTACTTTTGAGAAAGGTTTTAGACTATTGCAGAAGCCATCATCAAGTAATACAACCACGATAAAAACAACAACATTAGAGCCCACAAATATTTTGTCTTTCAACTAATGGAAACCCCATAAAATTTGATGACAAAACGAAATTTTCTTGATAACAAAAAAAGAGTATGATCAAGATTGTCAATAGGAGATTGAATGATACAAACAGATTTTCAAAGCAAGTAACCGATTATTTATTACATTTTAGTTCTTTCGTAATTCATGATTTGCGTAGAAAAGACAAAAAAAAAGATAAAGATTGTTCTTCTTATTTGAATGATAAGTTCGAAAGAGATTTTTTGAAAGTGCGTCATGCACCAGAAACGCAAGTGAAGAACATTAGTTAGATCAAACAGACAGCTCAGCTGAATGAATTTTGCTTTTTTTGATATTCTTGTTGGTAACCAAAAATGCTGCAAAGAAAGAAGCGACTCCACAGACGATACCTAACATATAAACCTACCCAAATGATATGCGTTATAATATGTAAGTCATGATGATAGAAAATCCTTTATCTCAGAAAAAAAAATTCTCAAAGGAACTAACTTGTCTTAAAGATTCAGTATAGGCATGAATTACACCAGGTTTCAATGAATCCGAAAGTTGGGCAATACTCTGTACAGAGGATCGGATGACGGAAGCCGGTGCATCAGGCGCGTATTTTGCCAGGTTCTGGCTCAATGCGTTACCAAAGATAGTTTGACTAGTTTCAAAGATTTGAAAGTGATGTCAATACATAGGAGAACTAACACGATAGATTCATGAAGGGACATGACTTACGCTACCGCGATACCGATGACTCCACCAATTAATTGTCTTCAAAGTAAACAAATGATATCAGATTAGCTGAAAGCTCACTCTTTTCAGATTTCTTACGGTTCTTTTCACTTTTTGGAATACTTACGCAAAGGAAGATAAACTGGTTGCTTGTGGAATATCATGATCATCTACGTTAGCTTGGATAGCCACCTATGTTTGTGAGAAAGAATGTGATTAGTGGTGAACATTTCAATTGCAAGCAAAGCATCACAATCTGATATAACTACTCACAACCACATTTTGAAGGACAAGACCAAGTCCAGTTCCTACCAGAACTTGAAATCCGCTGATTTTGGCATTACTTGAAAATTCATCTATACACGAGATCCCAGTGTCAATAAAAATCGTTTTTCTCACTTTATTTGATACATAGACATACCAAGGGTGTATAAAAGTCCCGTTCCGACTGTGAGAATCACTGAACCAACTATTAACGCAGGCCAGTAGTAACCAGTGTGACTGATTAAGAAACCTATTGCAGCCGCCGAAACAACAATCGATAACACTGAGATGAAGAATAAGAATTCACATATTCAGCGAGGAAGTTGAGCGTGAAAGGTATCAAATATACTTAGAGAGAGCTTCAAGACGACTTACTCAGTGGAAGTAAGTCAATACCAGATTTAGTAGCTGATGCATGTTGAATGACTTGAAAGTAAATTGGAAGAAAGTCTAGAGATCCATTTTAATTTTTGATTTAGTAAAGCTTTAAAACTTGAAAGCATAATAGTGAGATCCTCACAAACTACGCTGAGCACTGTTTGTAAAATGTCAAGATAAATTCAGTAAAAATATTTTGAGTGTAAAAAATATTTTTACATTGATGATAGGAAATCAGAAAACTAACTGGATAATTTGATGAAAAAGGCTTGTAAACAAGCTCCAACTCTGTAAAGAAACATTAAAAAGTAAGTTACCACCAAAGAAAGGAGAAAAGGAAAGACACTTACTGGGTTTGATTTCTTAATAATCTAAAAGATAAAAGTCCTCTTCCATTCCTTGCATCGACTCCTTTCCATTCCCATAATAGAAAAGCACCAAGCATTACACCAAAACCACAAAACGTCCCAATCACCACTCCACTTTTCCAAGGGTATTGATTCCCACCCCATTGTAATGGAAGAACCAGTAAAATAATAACTAAAAGAAATCCAACCCAAACAAAACAAGTCTTGAACTTCTGGGATATAAAACAGATGTGAAGATCTAGAAAGAGTGCTTACGTCCAACCATTAAGAATGCTCCCACAACATCTAGACTACCTAGTTTATGAAGAACACTCTGATGAGGTGGAATCCATTTTCCGAAAGTGATCGCACTCCATCTACGATCCACCAATTCAAGAAGTTTGTCTGATAACGGTAGAGCAGGTTTATTAGGTATCACCATAAAGATCGAAAAGATAGTGATAGCTCCGCAAGGTAAATTGATCCACTAATTTAAATCAAAGAAAAAACAATATATGTCAGAAATTTCAAAACAAACCCAAAAAGATTCTTTTGAATCTCAAGATAAGTTAAAAAGAATGTCTTACAAAACACCATCTCCAGCTCAAATGATCAGTAAGAGCGCCACCAAGAAGCGGTCCAACAACAGACGCAGCAGCAAAGACAGCGCCAAAGCTACCCAGTAACTTTGGTCTATCTTGAAGTTCTGTAATATCTGCAATAATACTTAAACAAGAAATGAAAATTCCAGCTGCTCCTATACCAGAGACAGCTCTACCGATAATTAAACAAATTACATCAGGTGATACGGCACAAATCAATGAACCTATTTCAAAGATGAAGATCGCTACTACAAAGATCCAACGACGATTATAGGTCACTAATAATTGTGCATAGAGTAATAGAAATGAGACTTGAGTGATAAGCTAAAGAAATCAATAAGAAATGGTTAACATTGGTTTAGATTTTTTCCCTGGACAATTCTGGTGACTCTCTAACGTACATAGGCACTAGCGATCCAACCGATTTGATCCAGAGCATTAAAGTTTGACGCAATAACAGGCAAAGCCGGACTCAAGATAGTTTGGTCCAAAGAAATCAAAAGTACAGACAAAAGCATTCCAACAAAAGCTAATGCTAATCGTTTTCCACGTAGGATTGTACTAGGTTGATCTATCTGATCAACATGTTTTGTAAGTCCCTCTTCCTTTTGTTCAGGTTCCATTTTGATCTCAAGATCTGGAGAATATAAAGATTGATTTATGAATAATTCTCGTTCGGCGGCCGCTAGTTTTTCAGGAGTGATCGCATATCGATCGTGAGGGATTTGAGGTGTTTGTGGTACCCCAGGTGTTTGTGGTACTCCAACTTCAATGGTATCAGAGTCACCTGATACGGATCTGTCTTCCTCAGCTGGTGAAGTCTTTTTTCGATTAGAATTTTCAATTAGCCATCCAATCAAGAAAGTTTATTAGTTAAAACTGTACGTTATGATCATCTTTTTGCAAAACCACTTCTTCGCGAATAAAAGGTCACGCACATCAGGGGTTGAAACTGTAGGATCAGACATCGATCTGAAGGTGTGTTGAGAGAGCCAGTTGGTAAAAGTACGCGCTTTCCAAGTATGAACGGAGTAAGTTGAAACTGAGTGAAGGTAAAGCAGCAAAGGTTGAGGGTTGAGGAAGACTTCTGGCTGAATACCTTTATATACGCGTGAAGAGGAGGTAGGAGTCGGACAGCTTAAGGTTTACTGGACGGAGATTAGAGAATTAGGCTTTCTCGTTGGCAAGTCCCTCCGCAGACGCTCTCTGACCGTGAATAGGATGCAGCTAAGAATGGACGACCGACTCACTTTGCAGAGGAGGAGGAGGATAATGACCGGTTGTTCGATCGACCGAAGAGCCGATCTAATGATAGTCTAAGTGGCTACCTTGTGAAGGCCAACGGATGCTCTGGTCAAGGAGGGAGATATAATCGCTTGACTGAACCTTGATTCACCCCAACTCAACTCTATGGTCAGAAGTAAAGGTAAACCCTGAGAACTGAGCACACAGGAAGTCAAAGAATAGTCATTTATGTTTTACTTCTGTAGGACAGTATGGCTATTCGATGTATATGATGATATCAGAATTTAAAAAATTGCGAAACAATTCTGCGTCTGATCAGATTTGGATTTATAGGAAGGATAGCCAATAAGATGATTAGCATTTTACGCGAGCGGGTGCCCTTTTATAGACAATGCGATTTTTCTCAATTTCTTAGGCAAATTATATTTTTAACACTCAAAGTGCTATCCTGGCGATTGGTAAAGATCGTTTCTGTTTGATTTTTCAGTCTCAGCATGTAACTCGTGCCAACTTGTGACTTCAGGAGACGGAATTTGCAAGACCGAGATTCAGTTTGACTCGTCATCCTCACAGCAACCTTTCGCACAGTCATTCACATACAACCCCATCCAATGATCAGGACTAGAGAGCGGTATTAAGACCTCCGAGGGTGACATACACAAGGCACACCGGGCGTAGGATGATATTTATTTAAACGTGTTCATCTCATGGACGACTCAACAACCAAAGAGTGAATTTTGCGGTCACATAAGTGTATCGATCCATGGTAAATATCAGGTCTTGAATGCGATGGAGAAAACGCCAATGGCAGGTTTTGAACACGATCGAGAACATGAATAGCAACAGATCAGTGATCATAAACCTGGAACATTTATCTCAATCGATTGACCTTCTCAATAGGATATCTAAACTTTCCTCAAATGCTGCTTCAACGAATCCTAGACTTGTATCCATCATCATCCTAAACCCGACCTTCTACATGTAAGTCTCATTCAAAAGAATCAAAAACAAAACACTTCTAAAAGATCAATGAATATCGCTGGTTGTGGAGATCAGATCACCTGAATCAAATTCATCAGGTTTAACTCAAGTAATTGGCTTAATCCCCATACCTCGCCCATCTTGATTCATTTAGAAGATCTTGATCGATCTCAAGACAATTTAATTCATTGAGAAACTCTGATCTTTATGTTCTTAATGACTTTTCCGGTTCGATTTGGATTGTTGATCGTCACAGTTTGTTCCAAACTCTTCAATGGTTGTTTGTTTATTTCTTTCCTTGGATTTATTCACAAAAAGCTAACCTATTTCCTCATGTTTCTGAATCTACAGAAGGGGAAAAGTCTACGTTAAAACCAACAAAGGATCCAGATCAGCAAGTGATAAAACATGAGGTTTAATCAGTTGATGATCAGGAGTAAGTAGATTCATTGGGTAAATATCATTTGACCAAAAGCCTTCAGTAAAGTATTCAATCTGTTTGGATTTCAAATCACATCCTGTGTCAACTTGATTGTTGTATCATCAACTGAATTTTCAACTCTTGTTCCAAGATATTTATATGCTATGTACCTCTTCAGTGAACTCTAACTACATTTGTTACTTGTCAAGTTCACTCAAAGTCCAGAGTATAGGACCTCAAGATAAGATCTGAACCCTGGAAATTTTCCATGCAAGCTCAAAATGGTATAAGCTGGACCTGTAATTCATACATCTTTTGTACTCAAAGGTAATTACATTTTTTTCACTAGATTACCAGTCTGTTTCTTGAGAGACCTTCAACTTAACTATGGACATAGTTAAGATGTATTGACATGATTTTTGATCTGTATGTCATTTAGTACTACTTATACCACTTCACTCTGTACCATTCCTCAACACAACAACAATTTCAATGATTGAACTAAAAATTTCAATCTTCATAACACAAAGAGAAAGAGAATTAAGATTCATAGGATTCTTTAGTTGTTTATCAAAAATGACACCTTTAATTAGTAGAATCATTTCATTGTCAAATTGAATTATAATTGCAATGTATGCTGATGATTTCACCTCGTGTGCACCTGTAACTCGGACCCGACCCGAGCATACTACCTGTTGTATCCTCGCAGCGACTCCATACCAAAGCACACAGATGCATCTAAGGTGTATAAGATGCATCTTTTCGTAACCTCAAACACTCAAGGCCTTGTGCGCACAGGCGCAGAAGGTAAAAATCACTCCATCTCATCAGCTTACACACCACACCCAACGAAATTCGACCACTTTCACACCGTTGTTGGAGTGACTCACTCATCTTCGTTCACCAGCCTTGATTCGACTCCGACCTACCCAATTTCACTCCGCACTATCAGCTTACACACCGACTCCGGTACCTTCCAACACCATTTTCACACCATTCACACCATTATCACCAGTACTTGACACCTCTCAGTGAACCTCTCTTAAATCATAACACACATGTAATGCACATACTGCACATATATACTTAAATATTACCTTATCCACGTCACGCCTCAATGGTTCAAAGTTTGCTCTACACTCCACGAACTACACTTTCCAAAGTCCTTCTAAAATCTCATCATGGCGACCACCTCAAACCGCAAACGCCCGGTCTCCGGCAAACGCAAGACATCCAGCAAGCCTACTCAACGTCAAACACGCAGCACTCAATCGAAACGCCCCAGGCAAACCACTTCTAAAAGCAGAACCGCATTGGCTGCCAAGAGAGTCAGAATCACTGTAAAGCCGGCCAAATCCACTGATCCAGACGACTCTGACAATCAAGACCCAAAGGATTCAGATGACTTGGATGATTCATCAGATGATGATGATGATCTTAACTTACAAGAAGACAAAGATGCAGAGAATTGGGAAGATGCACCCCTGCCATTGCCAACCATTACTAGATCAACTCGACGGTCTAAAGACGTCCAACCAAAGAAGGTCAAAATCACCCTTGAGAATTATAACGAAGTTGATTTGGACATCCCCGAAATCAACAACCTCTTATCTGCCGCTGGGCGCAAAACACACAATCGAATTGCACCTTCGATCCAGAAGGAGTTGAGAAATATACAGTTTATGTATCAAAGAGCAAAGAAGTTACTGGCAATAGCTGCTCACTGTAGTGAACGCACGATCAATGAATTTTTGCATGTATCATTATCATGCCTCAAATCATATCATTATCATAACTAATCTCCCTCCCCTCCCTCATATCACTCCAGGCACGAAGTCAGCACTCGAACAAAAAGGACGTTTTATCAATCATTTCTGAAGTACAGCGCTGAGGGTAAAAAGACTGCAAGTCAGTGGCTCTTCAACTCTTCAATCTGCCATTCACTCCGCTTTCTTGAGAACTCATGTCATGCTTCACACAGTGCCAGCCAGGAACACTCAGGAAGGATTCAAAGAAAGGAATAAGCATATGGGATATACTTGGACTAACCTTGAACCGGAAGAGAAGGACATATTCAACGAGCAACTTTTTTTCCCCCTTGGCTATCTTGCAAGTGGATGGGACCAACCACCAACCGAACCAAACACCAAACCTTTGGATGTCGAAGAAAAAGAGAAGTATCTGCCAATTTTCAAACAATTAGTCGATTTGGACAAAGTAGCCCGTCATCTTGGTCAGGATAAGTTTGGACCCCACCTTCCAACCGCACGACAAAACAAGGGTATTGAAGAAATCACCCAGATTGAGCACGAGGTAAGAAATCTGTCCACTCAAAGCTCACATTCTTTTGTTCTTGAGTTATTGAGTTATTGATTTCTTGATATTCAATTGTTTAGCTCCAGATCATGCACATCCGTTATGGTGTTGACTTTGCGCTCATGGCCACTTCTTGGAATCCAAATACTCACAACAAGAAGGGCCAGTGGGAAATGCAAGCATCATCATCTGAAGATTGGATTGCATTGACCGACCGCAAGTGGAAACTACTCGAACACTTTGTCCGACATTCCTCCCAGTCAGAACTTCAAACTAAACCGGTCCAACGCAAGAAACCTCAGGCCAGCGACAAGCTGAAGTCACGTCTGACAGCTGAGCTGAACAGGCTAGTTCGTAAGTGATCTTATATCACGACTTCTTTCACATCCTCTGACTCCTTCTTCCTATATCGACTTTGTAGAGCAACATCTTGAACCTCCATTTTCACATTTGGACTGCCACCCAAAGACACCATCACCTCACGTGGCACTGAAAAAACGGTGCTTTACAGGAAATGTGCAGCTTGAAAGTATACGACATGATGCATCCAGCATGACTGACAAATTACTCTCACAAGCCTTTGAGAAAATGTCCGCACGCACTCATCAGCTGTGGCTAGATGACATTAAATCCGGCCCGGCCGTTATACTGTTGTGAAACAAAAAGAGGAAGCAGATGAGACGCCTGAAGAAACAGTACCATAATAGAAATACCGCTTATGTTATGTAAAGGCGCCAGTTCGTTGTACAACTTTTCAAGTGTGGCTTGCGGTATGAAATGATAACTAAGAACATCGTTCGAATTTTGAGCCAATTATTGATACTCCACAATTGCCACTTAAGTCTGGATTTGGCAGCAAGATACCTAAATGTAGTGTTGTAGATAGATTGGTCACACCGAATTGCAAAAAAAAAATATGTTTTTTGCTAATGTGCAAAAAAAGTGTGTGTGGCGGTGTGAAGATACAACCTTCACATGTTTGCAGGTGCCAATATAATTTCGAAATTGTAAACATGGTCTTACCGTATTCTGATGTGTGAAATCTGGTTGTAAATGTGTGAATATTGTTTTTAAAGGTGTGAAAATCCAGCCTTCACAAGGTATCTGGAGTGAATATCTTGTCACAACCTCCACTCTTTTGTATGTCTGCTGATGGGTGATACCCGTCTCTTGCGGTGTGAATATAGGTTTGGAAGGTGTGAAAATCCAGCATTCACAATATATCAGGAGTGAATCTTGTGTCGTTACTTCCACTTGGCCTCAAGTCTGCTGATGCGACATACCCATATGTCGAGGTGTGAATATTGGATCCAAAGGTGTGAACATCCCGCCTTCACAATACATCAGGAGTGAATGTCGTGACACAACTACAACTCCATGATGTAAAGGTGTGAAAGCACAGCAGTCACACTTTATTCAAGGTGAATTTTCACTCTGCAGTTGCCGTGATTACTGATGGGTAGAGCTAGGATGCAGACGTGTGAAAATACAGTAGTCACACGGTATCAGGAGTGATACCCTTGGCAATTTTGATGCCAAGGTGTGAGAAATCACCTTCCCACTGTGTTTTCATTTTCATAAGGTAAAGTCAAATGCGCAAGGGAAGCATCCAGTGTTTGGCATGAACGTAACAAAGTAACCATATACAAATGTCAAATCATGTATTGAATTCTTCAATATCAAGATTATCATCATCAAACTTGCCATCATCCTCTTGATGAGCACGTTGATCAAGTTCTTCCTCTCCAGCCAAGATGTTCTGAATGCGTACCATTCTCTCCCACTCCTGGAGAGTGAATTGTACCATGCTCCTCCATTTCGCCTTCAGCTCAGCATCACTGAAAGTCTTGCATACATTGTCATTGGCTGTCGCGTCCAGCAAAAACAGTATTTTCTGGTTCCACCTAAGCCAAATCCTATCAGCCTGGCGTGCCACAGTTGATGTCAACGACATCATCACATCCTTGCTAGTCCAGTTTGGAATGACATCTGTGGCAAATGAACTCAAGTCTTAGATGATCATTCCAATAGTGGAACAGGATATATTGATGAACAAACTTGAATGGACTGACCATTAATTGTATCTCGACGGAGTTCGTTGATTTTATCTTGATATTCAACTGCCCAACACACCATCTGCCTGGCCTCCTTTGCAATGCGTCGAAGTTCCTCTTGACAGCGGCAGATGGTAATATAAGCTTCGATTCCCTCCTGGGTAGCGTCGTCAATGGCCCATGGCTCTTCGGAGTGATGGAGATTTCCAAAATTGAGAAAGGGGTCACTCAATGGCATAGCCTCGACTTCTTGCAAAGATGGGGTGTCTAGAGGGGTATCTGGTTGAAATTCAATATTGTAATCATTGGCCAGACGCCAATACGTTGCATGCTTTCGACGAAGCTGAGCAGCTTTCACTGTACGTAGATGATTCATTTTCTTTTGAACATTTGTACCTGTTGCTTGCAGGCATCACATTAGGTTACATACATTGCTATTATATCCATACATATTTGAATGCTAACCTCGTGCATGTGAAGCTTGTCGCTGATGCTCAATCACGCTTGCTTTGGCCCCAAGGAGATTTCCTTTTGCCACACGGATTTTAATAAGCGGCTGTGCCCGAGCATCTATTTGATAATGTGGTCAAAACCGTCATCAGTATCTGAAGCCTTCCCAACTTAGCATATTATGATTAGGAATTTACCTGATGTCCCAGTCAGCTCAATTAACTGAGCATCCCCTAGCCTGTCGGACACTTCCTCAATGGCACGCTCAAGTAATACCAAGGTGTTGGGCAGGCGTGATCGATGGTTCCTACGGCGATGTCGTCGGCGTTGGCGACGGCTTCGTCGGTGAAGATCTTCAAGTTGGTCCCTGGGAAAAAGAGGTCCACCTTAGACAACATCAAACTAGGAGGATATGCTCAAAACCTCACTGTGCAATAACCAGCTTTTCCTCCAGTTCAACGAGGTCCCCAACATGCTCCAAATAATCTTTGCTAGTTTGACTGATTGTTTGGCCTTGAATTGCCTTCTTTCGCTCCCATTGTTGTTGAAAGTACATTTCTGTATGACCATGTGTAGTATTAAGGTCTTTCAAGACCTTGTTGGCGTCATCCATTTTCTTTTGCGTTTGGCGTAGATGTTTTAAGCTGTTCACAACTAAAAGTCACATTTTTCGTCAATTCACGGTGAGCAAAAATGACAAATTCTGAATGCTCTACCTTACCTGCTTTATGTCGCCCGCGCTCATTCTTGTGTTTTGCTCGGAAGTCTAGGGCGGTTAGCCTGTGCTGCTTTGTTGAGTAACGCATTGGTCTCACTAGCGGTTCAAAGTCTGCCCATATTCGCTCCATCCCTTCACCATCCGAAAGACCCCACCCTTCGTTCAGTCAAGGATTGTAATCTAGTTGACAGGCCCACTCGTGGACAAATGAGTGAAATAAACTAGTAGCAAACTTCAGTCGGCCTTGCTCTTGTGCTGCAGGGAATTGATTGCGCTGAAAAGCAAAAATTCAACTGTTGTTCTGAGTCCACAGGGACAAGAATGATACCAACTTTGACAATACCTTTCTTAAGTGTGCATCCAATATCGTAGAGCAATCCAAGACTTTCACTGATATCACCCTCCCTTTCCTCTTTAGCCTCAGTGGCTTTGAGAAGCCAGTCAATTAAGGCCAATGGGTATATGTTTCTATTGCAGGAATTGCTTTCAGTAAGTATGGCATTACGATCACGTGATATATCAGGTTTGCTCACTTCTCCCCACTCTGCACAATGCTGATGAACTTGAGACATTGATCGTGTCTACATCCCATCCCCATCAATCCCGTTTCATCACAGCCTTTCCAGTGAGATTTCCCCCGAGAATCATCAGCTGCTGTGTGCCTCGCAGTACATGAATCCTATGATGTTCTTTTATTTATTAGCAATGTATAGACTACATGTTTGTTCATCATTCAAAGTACTGACTACTTCTGCCTCATGCCATGGAGTCCAACGTCGATCTTGATTTGCTCCTGCATTGGCCGTCTGGGTCATCTTAGCTCGGAAGCCATTCTCTGCGTCAATGTCGAGGAATAGATTGGGTGTGTTAATCTCTCCTGTTTCAATGCTAGCGGCCAGATGCCTCCTATGCTGGAAATTACCGTCGAGGCAAACTATATGGTCAGGCTCTCCCAGGGGCAAAGGCCCTACACCAGGTCCAAAGCATTGAGGACAAATTCCAGCGAGTTTGTCCTTGTCTGTAAGATTAAGACTTCTCTCGATGGCCTCTTCTGCCATAAGAAGCATCTGACGATACGCATCGATAGCTGAAGACAAAGTGACATGCCATTCACGTGGCTAGGTATTATATTATGATAAAGAATGATGTGAGTCAGCTTGGAGAACTTGGAAATTGGATGGATAACAAGATTCATACATACCCCAGTGCCTTTCTGATTTAGAAATAATGGGTTACCATCATCTAGGTCCAAGAACTCATTCAGAGCCTCGGAGAAAGGCTGAAATCGCAAGCTACAAGATTTCCATGCAGTATGAAAGAATCGTAATAGCCTAATGGTAATCACAGATTGGGGGCTGACCGGGGTCCCTCCAATGAAACCAGCCTGGATCAGGCGCACTTGATCATTGGGAGAACAAGAACAGAACTTTATCTGGACCTGTTTACGACCTGACAAGGTCTTTTATGTCAATTAGAGTCAGACACATAGATAGTTGAAAATAAACTACCAACAATCAAGATCTAGGACGTCTAGAGTCCGCAGTGAGCCAGTACAATTACATGGCTCCTTCCAGTCGGTCTCGTGGGCTGCTTTGGACCAGTTACCAGTCTTTTCCTTGCATATCTGGAACACTGGGAACATAGCAGGAAATCGACTCCTCCAATTCTTTTCCTCCTCTTGTCTGCGGCCAGAATAAAAACCATCGTTGAGTCCATGGGCGATTTGGACTATTTCTTCGTTCGGGTCAATGGGAAAAGCGTGTGGTGATGCAGGCATTGTTACAATTATGATGTTTCTCATTTATTTGACATTTACGTATGTTTCACACTTTACATGTCACATGTCCAAAATCATGGATTTCCTGCTCTTATTCCAATTCACATATGTATCTTTGATTACGTGTAACATTTCTAAACCTAATCAAAACCTATGTATCGCTTGTTGTTTCATTTATAAACAGTACTGACAGAGCGCCATGAGCTCTTCTCTCTTCATCCAAGAATTTCTCATACAATCTTGGTTGAAGGTGAGTAACTCGTGGTTGTGGGATTCAGATTAGATTCAATTTATTAAGTTTGAATCATACTGATCCCTGCTCTGACAGGTGAGTAACTCGTGGTTGTGGGATTCAGATTAGATTGAATTTATTAAGTTTGAATCATACTGATCCCTGCTCTGAAAGGTTTCACGAAGATTGTAATAGGTTATGAGCCCAGCGTAATTCGTCTGCGGCAACCTATCGATCCATCACAATCTTTCAAACTTAATAATTATCTAACTTTGTTATTCCCCGATCATGATGTTTTACTCTGCATAATCTCAGACTGAATGAATCCACCGGACGCCACAGACGTCAAACCCAAATCCCAATCTTCGAAATCTCTTCCTTCCAATTTTAAAAACACCATTCCCTTCCCCACCAAAACAATTCCAACGATGACGTCTGATCTAAAAGAGTTCTCAACTTCCTCTTACTCATCAGTGGTGAAACTGTCCACCGGAACGTTCAACGATTGGAAACTCAAACTCACTACTCTGTTGAGTGGACAACGTCTGTCCAAATACATACTCAAGAACATTCCTGTACCAACTGATGAAACTGAACTCGAAGACCATGAGACCAATTCAGCTCGTGCGTTGGCTGCTATACATGCAACGATCGACAGTGAGAACTTCCAGGTCATTCGAACTTGCACTAATCCGAAGGATGCTTTTGACAAACTCTGTGAATACCACGACGATGCTGGAGGACTATCCACTGCTCATCTCTTCTCCGACTTGATGGCTCTCCGAATGCAATCCGACGAAGATCTTAATGAACACGTCAACAAATTCAGAAAGATTTATAATGATTTACTCAGCAATCTAGCCTCCATCCCTGATTTCAAGATTTCTGAACCCTTCATCACTATAATTCTAATCAAGTCTCTTCCTTCTGAATTCACTCCGCTTGTTCAAAGTCTTCTTTCAAACTTCAAAGAATTGACACTAGCAAGACTCTTCTCACTACTCAAGATCGAAGCTACCAGGAGTGCATCAGCCAACAAATCAGATTCTGCTCTGGCAGCCCGACGTAACAACGAGTCCAAACCGAGATCATACAGGAGGAAGGATCTGTCAAATCAACCATCCAACGGTCTTCGATGTTCTCTAGGACATGCAGGACACACTGACCAGAACTGTAGGACTAGAAGGTTCCGAGCTTTCCTGGAACATGAGAAGAAAGTCGCAGCCTCTGCCTCTCCATCAGGTAATTCGTCCAACGTCTCTCAAGTCTCTCAACATCAAACTGAGCCGGTCGAGGATGTGTCTTACTGGGACTCTGCTTTCTCTGCGTCGACCTCCTTCAGTACGCCAATTATCTGTGATACTGGAGCGACAAGTCATATGTTTTCGGATATCTCTCTAATTTCTGATTTACGTCCTTGTCGTCCTGTTAGGATAAGTGTTGCATCGAAAGACGGGGTTATCTGGGCGAGGAGTAAGGGGAATGTAAGATTTGGCTCTCTAACTCTTCGAAACGTTCTTTACTCGCCAAAATTGACTGGAAACCTTGTGTCGGTTGGTTCACTTTGTGATAATGGCTACCGTGCTTCGTTCGACAAATCTATTGGTACCATCGTAGACTCACACGGTAACGAGATCCTTCAGATGCGACGCAACCCCTCAACAAATCGTCTATGGACTCCAATCATACCCAATGACTCAATCTCCGCTCTTTTCTCGTATACCGATCCAGAAAAACTTGCAATGACATGGCATCGACGGTTGGGTCATCTACATCCGGATGGGGTCATTCATTTTCTCCGTCGTCAAAAACTACTTCCCATATCTAAAAACAATTTTGTATCTTGTGATGCCTGTTCCATGGGAAAGCTCACTCAATCTCCTGCCACTTCTCCTTTTCATCGATCGCCAAAGCGTCTCAATCTTGTACATAGCGATCTCCTGGGTCCTATAACTCCTGTATCGAAATCTGGTTTCAAATATGTCCTCAGTTTTATCGATGATCACTCTCGATACGCGTCTGTGTACCTTCTGAAATCTAAAGACCAAACTTTTTCTGCTTTCAAACAATACAAAGCCCTGATGGAAAAGAAATGCGGAGAAGATCCTCAAACTCAAGTCCGATCGAGGAGGAGAGTATACCTCTAATGAATTTATTTCTTTTCTCAAAGAAGAAGGTATTGAGGAGGAGAAAGGTCCAGCTCATAGACCTATGGCGAACTCTGTGTCAGAACGATATTTCCGTACACTGATAGGAAAGACTCGAGCTCAGCTGCTTGAGAGTGGTCTTCCACTGTCTCTCTGGGGGGAGTTGGTCAAGTACTGTTGTATACAGATCAACTGTTCTCCCTCGGCGGCACTTCAGAATCAATCACCTATTGAAGTGCTAGAATCTCTTTTACCTGGTCACGTTCACCCTTTCGACGTTGATCGCTTAAAGCCCTTTGGATGTCTTTGCTTTGCTGTGGATCGTCATCGCAAGTCCAAAGTCGCCCCGGTTGGAAAACGGTTCATTTTCGTTGGTCTCGAGGACGGCGCTCGTGCAGCACGCCTTTGGGACAAAGAGGCTGGCCGAATTTTCATTACCGGAGATGTCCTATATCGCGAGGACGTCTTTCCTGCCTTACATCCAACTTTTTCCCCGGATGTTGCTAAAGAACTCATTATCCCTAGCCTCACTGATCAATTAGTGAGGACCAAAGGTCAAGACTCAACAGTTGTTCCAGATGAAACTATGACTGAGGTCATCGAATCTACTGGCTCTGGTCCTGCGAAGGACCTTGGTTGGCGGTCTCCCATCGTTATCGAGGAGGAATCAGACCGATCCGTTTCACCACCACAATTTTGTCCTAAGGTACTCATTCCTCTATCTGAGTCAATACATGCGCCACGTGTCGAATCCAATCAACCACGGGTGTCCACATCTCCGAATCCATCACCCAAATCACTTTCACCGATTCGTTCTCTGCCAAATCAGTCGGAAGTTCAGAGACTTCCGTCTGAGTTGGGTCTTCAACAATACCGGTCATTTTCACCCCCGTCATCACACTCTTCGGCTACACCAATTGAATCACCGGTTT